TTTCCGTTTGGCGGAAATACGGACTTTCCCAAGCAGCCTGGCCCTTTGGGGACCCCCTTGCGCCTCCAGGCTGACCCCAAGCATCTCTCACTGTCACATTCCCGGCGGTGACTCCCCTCCTGCTCTGTGCCAGTCCATGCCTGGTTCCCCTTTCCCCCTTGTGCCCTGGCGCCCCTGAGGTCTCTGCCCGTGTGCCCAGGCAGCTGCTTCCTCTGGAGCCAACTGCCGTCCTCCCTGAAGTGAGCGTGCAGTGACCTCAGCCCCCTCCCTCCCAGGCGTCTGACAGCCTCCCTGCCACGTGTGTGTGTGGGGGACGCCCTCCTGTGAGGTAGACGGGGCCAGCCGCCCTTCTCCCCATTTCACGGAGGCGAACACTGAGGCACGCAGAAGCTGCGTTTTCCTTTCACGCTGGCTGCGGCCCGGTTCCCTGCCTGGCTTTCAGGCTGCCTCTCTGCCGCCTGTCCTGTTCACACGGCCTCACCACACCACCCTCTTTGGCTTCTCTGTTTGCTGCTACATGGCAAGTCAGGGAACACGGCCGCTTCCTCTGCACAGTTTGTAACGCCTCCTCCTCTGGCAGCTCCTGTCCCCTCCGTGTCCGCAGGCGCTCTGCGCTGGGCCTCCCTGTTCTGTGTGCCCGGCTCAGGCATCTGCCTGGTGATGGGTCCACTCTGGCCTTTGTGTCCCTTCCTTGGATCTGGCTGGGCAGAGCCGGGGAGAGGGGGGGGGCGCGGAAGGGCTCACTATTAGGGGGGGAGGAAAGACAAAGCTCCCAGCCATTCCCAAGAGTCTCCCTCCACCCCATCCTGAAATGGATGGGGGAGAAGTCCCAAAGTGTGGGCAGAATCATGACGCTGAAGCTGCCCCGTCCCAGGCCCAGATCGTGAACATGGAGCTGGGGACCATGGCAGAGCTGAACACACCCGGAGAGCTGTGGATCCGAGGGTACTGCGTCATGCTGGGCTACTGGGGAGAGCCCCAGAAGACCGAGGAAGTCATCGGACAGGACAAGTGGTATCGGACAGGGTGAGAGGGCGGAGCGGGCAGAGGGCTCGGCTGCTGAGGGGAAGCTGGGGGTCCGGAGGCTGAGCTGGGGACCATCAGAGTCAGGGCCTAGGACCCCTGGACCGTGCACTACACCGGTGTCTGCACAATCGGAGCCAAGATTCAGACACTCATTTGATAAGTCAACAAATTCTTACTCACCTGCCCCTCTTCTAGACACTGGCAGACCAGCAAGATGAGAACGATCTTACTGTTACTTCGCACATGTCTGGTGGAGGGAGACCAACACAAATAAGAGACTTTCAGATGTTGATAAAAATGAAGAAGAGAATATAAGATCAGAGGAAAGGAAGTGCCTCTTACAGAGAAGGCCTCCCAAGGTGTAAGCCTTTGAACTGAGACCTGAATGAGAGAAAAGAAGTCAAGCCCTGGCCAGGTAGCTCGGGTGGTTAGAGCACTGCCCCCATACCCCAAGGATGCAGGTTTGATTCCCGGTCAGGCACATACAAGACTCAACCAGTGGCCGGGCCAGTGTGGCTCATTCGACCTATGAACCAGGAGGTCACAGATCGATTCCTGATCAGGGCACATGCCCAGATTGTGGGCTCGATCCCCAGCAGGAGGCATGTAGGAAGCAACCGAGCAATGATTCTCTCTCATCATTGATGTTTCTATCTCTCTCTCCCTCTCCCTCTCCCTTCTGCTCTGAAATCTATAAAAATATATATATATTTTTAAAAAGAATCAACCAATGAATGCATAAGTGGAACAACAAATCAGTGTTTCTTTTCTCTCCCTCAAATCAATAAATTAAACAAAGAAGTCAGCATGTGCATAGATCTGTTGAGAGAGAGGCCACGTTATAGGTATTGGCCTGTTTTTTTCTCCCTCCCCCACTAGACTGTAAGTCCCAGGGACTGTCTTGTTCATGCTGTAGCCTCCAGAGCCTAGAGCAATGCAGGACACAGAGTAGGTGCTCAGTGGAGGTTGGGTGGATGAGTGAGGGCGCCGGCCGGTTGGGCAGAGGCAAGAGGCCATTTCTGGCCTTGCCTTGCAGAGACATCGCCACCATGGACGAGCAGGGCTTCTGCAAAATCGTGGGCCGCTCCAAGGACATGATCATCCGGGGTGGCGAGAACATCTACCCCACCGAGCTGGAGGACTTCCTGCACACGCACCCGAAGGTGCAGGAAGTGCAGGTGAGGCCTCCGGGCCAGGGGGGCCCCGGGAGCAGGAGCCACCCGTGGGGATGGCGAGGGCTGAGGCCTGTCTGTGACCCCGGCAGGTGGTGGGAGTGAAGGATGACCGGATGGGGGAGGAAGTCTGCGCCTGCATTCAGCTGAAGAGCGGGGAAGAGACCACCCCGGAGGAGATCAAGGCTTTCTGCAAAGGGCAGGTGGGAGCCTCCACGCACCTCAACTTACTGTGCTATGTTCTTCACCCCCCTTCTCCCTGCCCGCCACTCCACCCACTGTCCCCTCCCCAGCCCTGTGACCTCCACCCAGACTCACACTGTCTCCCTCTGGTCTGCAGATCTCCCACTTCAAGATTCCCCGCTACATCGTGTTTGTCAACAACTACCCCCTCACCATCTCAGGAAAGGTGTGTACGGTGGAGCAGACAAGGGAGGGGCGGGATGGCCTGGGGCCCAGGCACAGAAGGCCAGGGGGCCCTGACTCTGCCCCAGGGATGGGTAAGAGCATGGCGGTGGGATGACCAACTCATCAACTCATCCTGGTTTGCCCCGAAGTTTTCTGGCTTTAGCCCAAGAAACCCCTCAGTCCCAGGCAAACCAAGACGGCTGGTCGCCCTCGCTGGCAGAGGCCGCGAGCCCAGCGTTTAATCCTTTCTCTTCTCTGCAGGTCCAGAAATTCAAACTCCGAGAGCAGATGGAGCGGCATCTAAACCTGTGAATAAAGGGGAGGGGGGCCCTGCGAGGCCCTCCCTGCCCTTCCCCCTACATCCCCCTCGTCTGTCTTTGTGATTTGACATAAAGAGCTTCTCTGTTTTCTTCGGCTGGTTTCTGCTGGTGTGGTCTCTTGGCAGCTACTGGGGGACGGAGGGCAGATTCCAAAGGGGAAGGAGCACTTTGCGGGTGCTGAGCACTTCGGTGTGTGTTCGCTGCTTAATTTAATCCTCGCTCGCTCCCTGGAGATGCCAAAGGGATTCAGTGAGGATTTTTAAAGACTATACGCATTTCTTTTTCATATTATCACCAGATTAGTCCATCTGGAAGTATTCTTTTTTCATAACAGCCTCACTGGGATAGAGTTCACCTGCCATCCAGTGCCCCATTTAAAGTGTACGACTCATTGGTTTTCAGTATATTCACAGATCTATGCCACTGTCATCACAGTCCGTTTTGAACATTTTCATCTCCTGAGAAAGAAACTCTATACCCTTTAGTTATCATCCTACCTCTCCCTCCCCCCAAAAAACAAATACATATATCTTTTTCAAACCTGCGTTTGCTTGATGGGCAGAGCCAGATAAGCAGGCTGTACCTTGACCCAAGAAATAAAAACTGTACTTCCTTCTGGTAATCCATATCCTTTAGTGTGTCTACTCTCAGCAGCAGTGGCCTTCTCCTCTTTATTTTTATTTTTCAAAATATATTTTATTGATTTTTTTTACAGAGAGAAAGGGAGAAGGTGAGGAATAGAGAGTTAGAAACATCGATGAGAGAAACATCGATTCAGCTGCCTCCTGCACACTCCCCACTGGGGATGTGCCAGCAACCAAGATACATGCCCTTGACCGGAATCGAACCTGGGACCTTTCAGTCCACAGGTCGACGCTCTATCCACTGGGCCAAACCGGTTAGGGCCTTCTCCTCTTTTTAGACCATGAACTAAGTTCAGGGTACTCTGGGTGCCAGGCACTATGCTAGGTGCTTTCTTGAACTCTTCCCCAACAACCCTGTCAAGTGGACATGAGCCCCGTTTCACAAATGATGAAACGGACACTCAGGGCCATCTGGTGTCTTGCCCGGGGTCACACAGCTGGAATGAGAACCTACTTGTCCGTCTCCAAAGCCCATGATCTTCCCACTTCAGGGAACAGTCCAGGTGTCTACTTGCCGAGCCCTTCACCTGAACCTTGTCTCTCCCACAGACACCACCCTCGGCTCTCCGCCCTGCAGGTGCAGGGGAGAGTGGGGGTTTGACGTAGGAGATGACAGCCTAGTCTCCTGGCCTACCGGCTTCCCCTGGGATTTTTCTGCTCCTTCAACGTCCAGCCCAGTGTCCTCTCCTCCCATACCAACTCGCGGGCCCTTGTAACAGATGGCCCCACAGCACAGAGCAGACTGGCTTAGCATCCAGCAGATGCTGAATTGACATCTGTTGCCTTTTGTCTCTCGTTGGCTTGCTTCTCCTGTACTGTGACTCGGTCTTAGGCATCCAATGTCCCCCAGTGCCCAGCTCTGTGCCAGGCACATAAGATGTTAAGGGAATTCATTGAATGAACTGGGAATTCCTGTGTGGGCGGGGGTACCCACGCTCCACAGAGTGCTGAAAGCAGGCAGCGGGAGTTCACCCCAGTGGCCAGTGAAAAGGCCAGGTGGGCCGAAACCGGTTTGGCTCAGTGGATAGAGCGTCAGCTGCGGACTGAAAGGTCCCAGGTTCGATTCCGGTCAAGGGCATGTACCTTGGTTGTGGGCACATCCCCAGTGGGGAGGGGGTGTGCAAGAGGCAGCTCTCATCGATGTTTCTAGCTCTCTGTCCCTCTCTCTTCCTCTCTGTAAAAAAATCAATAAAATATATATATTTTTTTAAAAAAAGAAAAGAAATGCGGTGAGCGCATTTGTGCCCGGCAGGTGGCGCCAGAGACCCAGGCCCCGGCCCTCCGCGCGTGTCGGTCGCGGCGCTCAGTCGCGCAGGCGCTCTTCCTTCCGCCCGGGCCGCCCCACCGGCTCGGCTCCCCTCACTCCGTGCGCCCGGGGCGCGTCTCGGGCTCCGATCCGCCCGGTGCACCGCACCGCCGCCGAGCGCACCATGGCGCTTCCCCGCGCCCGGGCCGGGGCCTGGGCGGCGGCTGCCAAAGCGGCCCAGAGGCGCCGCCGCGTGGAGGGCGCGGGCGGGTCGCCGAGCCCCGCGGCCCCGAGCCAGCGCGCGGCGCTGTACGTCCACGTGAGTGGGGCGGCGGCGGGGGAGCGGGATCCACAGCGGGACGTGTCACTCGTGAGCCCACCCGCCGGCTTTCCCTGCTCCCGGGCGGGGTCTTGGCTGGGACCCGGGCCCTGGCAGGGACATGTCTGTGCCCGGGGGCCCGAAGGCTCTGTGCGCACCAGCGAGGCGACCTCTGACCCCGTGGCTTCCCTTCTGAGCCCCCGTTTGGTCTTATTGCAGCGTTTCCCACACTTCTCTCATGATGAGAGTCACCTGGCGGAGCTGTTAAACTACAGATTCCTGAAGCCCAACTAAGGAGTGCTAAACTAGAGTTTTCGGGAACATATCGGTGAAATTGTATGCTTCGCTAAGCTTAGAGTACCTGGGATCTGTAGTTTAACAACTCCACCAGGTGATTCTCATCGTGAGAGAAGTTTGGGAAACACTGTCTTATTGGAGCGGGCACAATCCCAGCCTGAGGGGGTACAGACCTAGAATGGGGTGGGAATGTGTGCACCGGAGCCCTGGAGGTGAGTGGCCAGGGCAGCCCGGAGTCCCCTCTCACCCCTTGCAAACACCCCTCGCCCCCAGTGGCCCTACTGCGAGAAGCGCTGCAGCTACTGCAACTTCAACAAGTACATCCCCCGCGACGTGGACGAGGCCGCCATGCGGAGCTGCCTGGTGACCGAGGCTCAGACGCTGCTACGGCTCAGCGGGGTGCGGCGGTGGGTCCTGGGGGGCCGGAGCAGGGCTGGGAGGGAGGTGGGTAGGATGGGTGCTGCAGGCCTGCTGGAGGGCTCCCCCAGGTCTCACCTTCTTTATCTTCTTTCCCCAGGGTGGAGTCCGTGTTCTTTGGTGGAGGCACCCCGAGCCTGGCCAGCCCCCACACTGTGGCTGCTGTCCTGGAGGCCGTGGCCCAGACAGCTCACCTGCCTGCAGACTCCGAAGTCACATTGGAGGTCAACCCCACTTCTGCCCCAGCCTCTCGGCTGGCAGCCTTTGGGGCAGCCGGAGTCAATAGGCTGTCCATTGGCCTCCAGGTAACCAGTCTGTCCACCCCACCCCAGGGCCCCAGCCCTTCCGTGCTGACTCTCCACGGGTCACACTCATTTATCAGGCAAACATTTCCTAAATGCTGAGATAGTCTGGCCCCAGATGCATGCATATCCGGACTCTAATTGCAAAGAAACCCAAATCAAGAGACTTTTTTTTTTGCCCTGGCTGGGTAGCTCAGTTGGTTAGTGTGTCGTCCTGACACGCCAAGGTTGTGGGTTCGATCCCCAGTCTGGGCACATACAAGGATCAACCAGTGAATGCATAAATAAGAGGTTGATCTAACCTCTTCTCAAATTTTTAGTATATGGTATATAGTAAAAATTTGTTCACTGTTAGGACAGTGGTGAGCAGAGATTTCTAGAATTTATTCATTAAGTGATATTTTGAAGAAAAAAAAAATAACTGGCCCATACTCTTTAAAAAATGTCACTATCATGAGAGATACGGGAAGGCTAAGGATCTAGACTACAGACAACCAATGAAACAGTGACGTCTGAGTGCCGTGTGTGATCCCTCATTGGCTCCTGGAGTGGGTGGCAGAGGACATTGCTGCAGTAACCATTATTGGGACAGTCGGCCAGATCTGAATGTGACTGTGTATTAGATACTGGCTTCGTGTCAACGTTACATTTCCTGACCTCTGGAGTTGGCTTGTGGTTATGTAAGAGAATGTCCTTGTTATTAGGAAGTACACACTTCACTATTCAGGGGTGAAAGGGTGCAATATTTAAGTTGGTTACATTTAAGTAACCCATTTGCAAATGCTCACTAGCATGGGGCCAGTGGCTACCATCTCCCGCTAAAATGCTCTATAGCCGCACTGACTATATGTCGGTGAACACTTGGCATGTGACCATTTAAATTCAATTACCTTAAAATGTAAACAGCCACGTGTGTGAACACATACTGTATTGGACAGAGCAGGTATAGAATATTCCCATAGGGCTAGTCTGTCGGTTACTCTCCAATGGGTCAACATCGTCATCGTCATATGCATGTATATTTACAGAGAGACAAAGCAAATGAGGCAAAATGTGGTTGGTGAATCTGAATGGTGGTGGTATTCGTTGACTTTTTTTTTTCAACTTTTCTATAGATATGAAATATTTCAAAATCAAAAATAAAATTAAGAAAGGCTCTTGGCTTTGGGGCCAGGCAGTCCTCTACGTTCGGGGTCTGACTGTGTGACCTTGGGCACGTTACATAACATCTCTGAACATCAGTTTCCTCCTTTGTAAATTTGGAGTGAACGTTGGAGGGTTATAAGGATGAATTAGATGTCACATAGAAAAGCTTGGCCCATAGTGTATGACCCTTCAGTGAATGGTTTGCCCTTGGTATTGGGTCTGGCCCTACCCAGGCATTAGGGGTGAGTTGATGACATATTTGACCAAATATAGCAGGCTAATTTTTAAAAAATATATTTTATTGATTTTTTTACAGAGAGGAAGGGAGAGGAATAGAGAGTTAGAAACATCGATGAGAGAGAAACATCCATCAGCTGCCTCCTGCACACCCTCTACTGGGGATGTGCCTGCAACCAAGGTACATGCCCTTGACCAGAATCGAACCTGGAACCCTTTAGTCTGAAGGCCAACACTCTATCCACTGAGCCAACCCGCTTAGGGCAAGCAAGCTAATTTTTAAGTTGATCATTTTTGCTTGGCCCGTGAATGATGTTATAAATATCCAAATGGCCCTTGGCAGAAGAAATGATGTTATAAATATCCAAACAGCCCTGATCTACCTACAGTAAGGAGGGCCACGTGGTTTTGTTTCTCCCTGAGCCGGCCTGTGTGCTGACGGAGCCTCTCTCCCCAGTCCCTGGAGGACGCCGAGCTGCAGCTGCTGGGGCGGACGCACTCGGCCAGCGACGCCCTGCAGACGCTGGCAGAGGCCCGGGGCCTGTTCCCCGGGCGCGTGTCCGTGGACCTGATGCTGGGGCTGCCCGCCCAGCAGGTGAGGCCCTGGCTCCGGCAGCTGGAGGAACTCCTGCGCCGCTGTGACGACCATGTCTCCCTCTACCAGCTGTCCCTGGAGCGGGGCACTGCCCTCTTCTCCCGGGTGCAGCGGGGCGCCCTTCCTGCCCCGGACCCCGAGCTGGCCGCCGAGATGTACCAGGAGGGACGGGCAGCCCTTCGGGAGGCGGGCTTCCGCCAGTACGAGGTCTCCAACTTTGCTCGCAATGTAAGTCCTGGGGCTGACGGCCGAAGGTGGGCAGTGGGCAGGCTGAGGCTGAGGCGGGCCCTGGGAGAGGGACCCTGCGGGGAGAAGGGTCTCAGCGGGGTCCTCGAGGCCTGAGGTGGGGGGTCATTTTATTTTATTTATTTCATTTAAAAATATATATATTTTATTGATTTTTTACAGAGAGGAAAAGAGAGGGATAGAGAGTTAGAAACACCGATAGAGAGTTAGAAACACCGATGAGAGAGAATCATCAATCAGCTGCCTCCTGCACACCCACCACTGGGGATGTGCCTGCAACCAAGATATATGCCCTTGACCGGAATTGAACCCGGGATCCTTGAGTCCGCAGGCCGACGCTCTATCCACTGAGCCAAACCAGTTTCAGCGGGGGGCGGGGGGGGGGCATTTTAACCGGGTTCCCCTTACCTGAGCAGCAACAGGGCTGCCAGCTTAGCTCGGCCCTGACGACCCTCTCCCTCCCCACAGGGGGCGCTGAGCACCCACAATTGGACTTACTGGCAGTGCGGCCAGTACATTGGCGTTGGGCCTGGTGAGTGAGTGCCCTGTGAACCACAGGAGGGGGACTCGGGAGTGGATGTCACGGCTGTGTGATCCTGGGCCACTTATTAACCTCTGTTTGCTCCTAAATGCATCACGGCAAAAAGGAGATGTTGTTGAGTGTGTGTTTTGAGGCGCTTGGTAACGCCTGGCACGGGGGTCCTCAGCCTTCAGCACGTGCCAGAATTACCGGGAAAAACCCGGGTGGCCGGGCCGCCCCACCCCCACCCCCCAGGATGTCCGGGCTGCACAGGGCGGGAGTGAGGTCTGAAAGTGTAGGTTTCTAGCATCATCGATGCTGTGGGTCCGGGGATCACACTTTGAGAACCATGGACCGCCTCTGGCAGGCAGGCCGCGTGAACGGGTGTTAAAGCGGGTGTGGTTGTTGATGTTGTCAGGGGCCCACGGCCGATTCGTGCCCCAGGGAGCCGGGGGCCTTGCCCGGGAGGCTCGGATCCAGACCCTGGAGCCTGACAACTGGATGAAGGAGGTGAAGCTGTTCGGCCACGGCACCCGGAAGCGCTCCTCCCTGGGCGAGCTGGAGCTGTGAGCATCTGGGGGCGCGGGGCGCTCCCCCCGGGTTCCCCTGCGGCCCCTTCTTACCTCTTCCCTTGTCCCGTCCTGCATGGTCCTCATCAGCCCCCCATACACACACCCCAGCGTGGGGCTAGAAGGCTGGGGGATGCACAGGTCTCCCCTCCAAGACTACTGGATGGTTTTCCTTTCAGGCTGGAGGAAGTGTTGGCCATGGGGCTGCGCACAGACGTAGGGATCACTCACCAGGTAAGGGGTCCAGGGGCTCTGGCACACTGCTTCCTCCTAAGCCACACATGATCATTTCACACACACACACACACACACACACCCCTCCCATCCCTCTGGCAGCTGGAGGTTGGGCTTTAGTCCAGCTGAGGCCTGATGAGCAGTGTGGTGCAATGGTGAGGGCTCTGGACTAGGGCTGCAGAGACCCAGGCTCGAGTCCCCTTCTACTGCGCCCTTGAGCACACCTCCTCTCACCTCTCTGAACGCCCGTGTTCTCAGCTGCGTGGGGGAACAGACTAGACGAAGGGTTTCGGATGTTGTAATTAGCACGGGGAGCTCAGACAGGAAGTACAGTCAATGCTCAGTGCAACTCCGGCTTCTCTGGATGAAGTCAGGGCTATAAAGCCCTGGCCATATCCTGAGCAGCAGGGGTCAGGGGTGAGGGGGTGGATCGAGGGAGACCTGGCTTTCGGCCTAAACATGGAGGAGTGGAGGTGCCCGCGTCCCTGCTGGCCCGAAGGCCTGGGCCTGGTGTGCATGAGAGTCAGCTGCCTGAGATCCCGGTGCCGGACTGTACCCTCCCTCGCCCCTCCCCACGCCCCCAGACACACGGCCCAGCGTAACTCACACGCCTGCCCCTTCGGCTCCCCCAGCACTGGCAGCAGTTTGAGCCCCAGCTGACCCTGGGAGACGTGTTTGGAGCCAGCGAGGCGGTGCGCGCGCTGCTGGAGCAGGGCTTGCTGCTGCTGGATCACAGGTGTGCCTGCGCGGGAGGCGATCCGGCGTGGCGGGAAGCCCTGACTTTCGATCACACCCCCGGGAAAAGGGAGAATCGCTGATGAGGGAGGGCATTGAAACTAGGAGAGGAGGCAGCTGCCACATCCGGGCCTCTCGGTTTTCTAGGGGTCTCCGGTGTTCCTGGGAAGGGCTGGCCGTGCTGGACTCTCTGCTGCTGACCCTTCTACCTCGACTCCAAGAGGCCTGGCAGCAGAAGACCCCCGCCCCTGTGCCAGGAGGGTGACAGATGCCCCTGCCGTTGTTTCAGCTCTCATCATGGCCCAGCCCTGGCACCCCCAGGGGACGGCCTACAGTGAGGTGGACGGGAGGACCGCTGTCGGAGGTCTGGGAACTGGCATCGAGGGTGCCCACCGCTGCCAGGGCAGGAGTCGTGGTGTCTGCGAGTGCCTCTCACTGGTGGTCTCTCAAGCAGCTCCTGGCTGGCAAGAGCTTCTGAGGGATCCGGCTCTCAGGCTCCCAACCCCTACACTACAGGACGGGACCGAGAAGGGGCTGAGCGATGCTGGCCGACCCCTGTGTGCATCCCGCACAGGGCCTGCCTGCCGGACTCAGAACAGTGAGAAAGATCAGAGCGAGCCCTGCCCCTTCTCTTCTGTCAACCAGGATGTGTTTGGGGTGTCAGGAGCCTCACAGGCCTTCCTGAGTTTCCTCCCCAGTTCCCTCTCCCTGCAGCCTTTCCCTGAAGAGAGTGAAGGGGGAGCCCTAACCCATTTGGCTCAGTGGATAGAGCATTGGCCTGCGAACTCAAGGGTCCCAAGGTTCAATTCCGGTCAAGGGCATGTACCTTGGTTGCAGGCACATCCCCAGGAGCGGGTGTGCAGGAGGCAGCTGATTGATGTTTCTCTCTCATCAGTGTTTCTAACTCTCTCCCTCTCCCTTCCTCTCTGTAAAAAAAATCAATAAAATATATATTTTTTTTAAAGTGAAAGGGGGGGCAAGCAGGGAAGAGGGAGGAAAGAAGGATTCAGAAAAGACCCAGAGCCTGCTGATCCTCCCCTGGCCCTTCACTTGCAGAAATGGCCGCCTGGTGCGTCTGTAAGTGGCTTAACAGAGCCTGTCTTGACTGTGATCCTCTCCTCTGCCTGGGCTCCTTTGTGGGGCGTGGGATTCTGACTTGGGGGCTAGAGACTCCGTCTAGGCTGAGATTTCTTCCTGTTCCCCAGCCGTTGTTCACCCGGTGATGTCAGCATCCATCCATGATCCTCGCCCACATCCGCCATTAGATTGAGGGCTGCAGAGCGTTAGTTTCTGACACTGTCATCCCCTCTACATTCATTGACGGGCACTCAACCACCTCCAAAGAGCTTTCCCCTTTTGGAGGGCTGACTCTCAGCCCCTGGAGAGATTGTATGCAGGGTGTGTGTATGTGTGAGAGAGAAAGGCGTTCTCCTGTGACAAGGCGTCCTACCTCTTCCTAGCAAAGGGTCGCTGTGATGCCCCGAGGAATTCAATCCTGGCGACTCAGGGCGGGGTTCCCCGGCCCTGCGGGCGAGCACGTGTGTTTCCCGTGTGCCCGGTGGGTGTGAATATCAGTCCTCCTGTGAACCTGCGGTAAGTGTTACGACGTCTCATTTGTTCATGAAATATTCAGCAGGCATGGCCGGTGTGCCAGGCACTGTGCTGGGCACGCAGAGAGGAATAAGACCTGTCCCCGCCCGTGAGGACCTCACCGCCACGTGGACAGACGTGTACAGAGATATGTGTCAGGGCGATCGGTGCGGGCGTGCGGGTGGGCTGCGGGAGCCTGCCACGCGTCTGGCTCGGAGGGGCTGGGAGCAGGAAGGGGGAATCCCTTTTTCTTACTCCTCCTCTGGCCCTGGGAAGGAAGGCTGGTGGGGTGACAGCCTCCTCCCGAGCCTTCCCCTGATCTTGATATTCAAGAAGTGAGCACGGGGCCGGAGCAGGTGCACCATCAGATAACCTGGGCCCGCTCAGGTTTCTCCCAGCGGCCCGGCCACCTGAGCCACCCAGGCCCTCCCTGCTCACTGGGCCTGGACGGGAGCCAGGGCCGGGAGGGGGTGGCACGGGTCAGCTGCTGTGACTCAGCCCGGTTCCACCCTCCCTCTGCAGGTGAATCAGAACCTCCCGGAGCTGGAGCCCAGGAATCCAGTCTTTAAATGCTTCCTGCGTGGCTCCAGTGATTAGGCCCGTGTGGGGAGCCTGCCATCTGCCTCCCGTCCTCAGAGGTGGGGCTCAGGAGGGACGTGGGGGACACGGCTACTTCTCCCTGCATCCAGGCCTGCCAGGCCTCGTTCCTCAAAGGGGTCCTCCATCCACAGGGAGACTTCCGTTGTCATTTTTTTACTTGCTCTCCTTCCCGCCTCCCTGCCCCCCAAAAGCACATGAACACAATGAAGAAGTGAAAGAGCTGCTTTGGTGAGGAGAGGGCACAGGGAGATGGCATGTGTGTCAGGGTGTTGGTTACAACCCGGAAGAGCAAACCTTCCTCGTACAAGAGCACTCACAGTCTTAGGGATTGAACCACCCTCCACCCTTCCCCGACCAAGTGGTGTGCATACGCAGGGCAGCTATTATAGTTGCCATTTTATATTCAAAGAGGCTCTCTAACTTGACCCAAGTCATTTCAGTAGGAAGCAGCAGAGCTGGCATAACCCTTCTGGGGATCCAGAACTTGTGTTACACCATTACTTTATACTTAGCTGTGGGTCTGGGTCGACTGACCTGTCTCTTTAAATTAGGCAAAATCCTGGCCTTTCTGCCCCTGAAGAGGCTTGAACAGTGAGAACCCACATGTCCCATCTCCATGTGACCATCCACTTCCTGGGACAGAACTCTATTTTTGCAAAGAAAGGGGCTTCAATAATAACGTTGCTGTAGACTGAATGTCTCTCCCCCAGAATTCATATGTGGAGACCTCCCTGAGCTGATGTGGATTGGGAGGTGGAGCTTTGGCAGGTGGTTAGGTCATGAGGATGGAGCCCTCGTGAATGAGGTTAGTGCCCTTTAGGAAACAAGACCCCAGAGAGCTCCCTAACCTCACATGATGACATGGAGAGAAGGCACTGAGACTGCTGGTGCCTTGCTCTTGAACTTCCCAGCCTTTAAAACTGTGAGAAATAAATGTCTGTTGTTGAAGCCACCCAGTCGACGGTATTTTTGTCATAGCAGCCCAAATGGACTAAGACAAGGATGAATAACGTTAGTAGATTGTATTATTATTCAAATGTTTGTCATCCTTCCTCAAGTGCCCCTTCCTGAGGGCCTGTGGGAGATCATCTCTCCCTGCCCTGATGAACCTGAGAAGGACCCAGAGACTTGCCTGCCCTGACTGTAAGAGCCAGTAGGTGGTCCACCTTCTCTCTCTGCCACAGAGACCTGCCGTGTTCAGACGGAGATTGTGTCCTCAGCCTGGGTCCTCAAGTTAAGATGTTGGGCAGAATAGCAGTGGACCTTGGAGACTTAAGCAGGGATGAGAAATTCCAATTCACTGTTGTAAGCCAGTGGATTTTTTTGGGTGGTTTATTACAGAAGCATAACTGAGACTACACTGACTGATACAATTTGTAATCCCACCATTCAAAGATTAATCACTGTTAAAATTGTGGTGTATATATTAGCAAAAACTCTTACATGCAAATGAACCACCCAGATATACAGTTTTACAAAAATGAGATAATATGCATCTTTCTTTAGAGCCTTTTTTATTTTTTAAATTTAATTTTATCATTTAAAGTATTACAAATAGTAGTACATATGTCTCCTCTTTTCCCCACTGACCTTCCCCTCAACCTCTCCTACCCCCATCTCCCATACATGCCCTCCTCCCTGCCCCAGCATCTGTGTCCATTGGTTTGCTTATATGCATGCAGACAAGCCCTTGGGTTGATCCCCACTCTCCCCTGCCTTCCCGCTGTAGTTTGACAGTCTGTTCGATGCTTCTTTGCCTCTGAATCTCTTTTCTTTGGAGCCTTCTTGTTCTAGCTAATATGTGGTGGGCACCTGTACATGTCGTTTATATCTACATCCTATTTTTTAAAAATATATATTTTATTGATTTTTTACAGAGGAGGAGAGAGGGATAGAGAGCTAGAAACGTCGATGAGAGACAAACATCGACCAGCTAGCTGCCTCTTGCACACCCCCTACCGGGGATGTGCCTGCAACCAATGCACATGTCTTTGGCCAGAATCGAACCCGGGACCTTTCAGTCCGCAGACCGATGCTCTACCACTGAGCCAAACCAGTTTCAGCTACATCCTATTTTTTGAGTATAGCTTCATTAGAAACCACCGCATGGTTGTGCCAGGATTTAGTTTACCATTTCTTTTTTGGTGAAATGAAGGGTTTAATTTTTATTTTTACAAACTCTATGATGAACATCTTATGTAAATATTTGTTTGCACTGGCTTGATCATTTCCTTAGGTTTAGGATAAATCCCAAGAAGTGTGGCTGCTGACTGAGGATACGCACATTCTTTGTTTGGATACACGATACCAGGAAGCCTTCATACTGCACGCTTTTGCCAGCTTGCTAGTGTTCTCACTCCTCTATAATTTTGTCAGTAACAAACATGATGCATTTTTCCAAAGGATTTCAGTCTGAAGAGCACTCTTTTATTAAAAAAATATATTACTTTATTGATTTCAGAGAGGAAGGGAGAGGGAGAGTTAGGAACATCAATGATGAGAGTCGTTGATTGGCTGCCTCCTGTGCGCTCTCCACTGGGGATCGAGCACGCAACCCCAGCATGTGCTCTTGACCAGAATTGAACCCAGGACCCTTCAGTCTGCAGACTGACACTCTATCCACTGAGCCAAAACAGCTAGGGCTGAAGAGCACGCGTAATCCTAGCTTTAGGATCAGCTAACATACTGCCTTCCGGAACAGCAATTATTTTGTCTATCTAATCATTCAAGTCAGAGAGTAAAGAGGATGCAAACTCTGGGGCCACCTAGGTAGACCAAAATGGACATGTTTGCCAGTGTGTTGTCTCTTGAATTTCTCTTATCCACACCCACCCAGATCTCCCTCTCCCCCTTCTTTTCCCTGCTGGGATTAAAAAAGAAAAAAAAAAAAAAAAAAAAATATATATATATATATATATATATATATATATATATATATTGATTTCAAAGAGGAAAGGAGAAGGAGAGAGAATCATTGATTGGCTGCCTCCTGCACACCCCACACTGGGGACCGAGCCTGCAACCCGGCCATGTGCCCTTGACCGGGAACCGAACCTCTTGGGTCTTAGGTCATTG